TGAACAGGGCATTAAGATCATTACACGCTGAACATTTTTAGATTGAATTTTGACACTCTCAATGAAATTTACATCATCAGACATGCGACAAGTTGCTTACATCATAGATGCCTTGTACTATTGGTTATATCGTTTTCATGGGGCGTGGAAATGATATAATCAATACTACTCTGCTTCTATGATGTAACCTATGCTTAAATTTTATTTTATGTGTTTGTTAACTTTATCAATACCGGGGTAATATTACATATCAATCAAAATTTATTGAAAAATTTTCGGACAAGTGAATTTGAAGTTCAGACAAGTAAATGTCTTAGTCACTTGTCCGAATAAACAAGTAGGTAAAAAAGTTTATGTCGAACCCTGCTGAAATTCATGAATATACAAAGACATAGAAAGAATATACAAATTTCCAAAAATCTGCATCTCAAGAACCACTGGGCCTTCTCCTCAAGAACTACTAGACCAGGAAAGCTGAAACTTACGGTATGTGGTATCCTGGGGTAGTGTAGATTTTGAATTGTCAAAACTATGACCCCCCGGGGGCAGGGTGGGGCCACAATAGGGAATCCAAATTTTATATAGTAATATATAGGAAAAATCTTTAAAAATCTTCTCAAGAACCACTGTGCCAGGAAAGCTGAAACTTATGTGGAAGCATCCTGGGGTAGTGTAGATTAGAAAGTATAAAAATAATGACAGGGCAACGGGGTAGGGAGCCACAATAGGTATAACAAGTCAGGGGAAATCTGGTAAAGAACTGCATCACCCAAGTTACTCAGGTGAGCGATGTAGCCCATCGGCCTCTTGATTTTTCAAATGCGAGTGTGCTGTTTTCTTAGTTAATTGATCCCTATGGCTTCAGGCAACGTACTCTACAACCTCATTCGATTTTTTAAACAGATAAAACAGCACAGGAAGTATCATCCGGCAAAAGCCTGTTGGTGATCTGCCATGAGATTGTTCAAGTGTTGATTTTTAATATGTCTCCACCCTTGATTTTAATAAAGGAAACTCAAAGTAGGTTAGGTACAACTTTTCCGGATTTAGGTATCTAGAGGCATTTAAAACTAGAGATACTGTGAGCAATGAGCTCACTAAATAATACCCCCGCCTCCCATATAAATATAATGGCAGTATCCATGTTTTGCTCTGGAAAATCCAAAATATATGTCAGATCAAAAAGTAAAGTAGGAGGTCACAATGGCAATCAGTCAGGGGTGGTACTGAAATCAGTCATTTTTGAAAATGATGGATAATGGTCATTTCTTCTAAGTATATAATGTACACAATTTTCTGAGAATGGAAATATGACGTCTTTTCATCATATTTCCATTCTCAAGTCAATTTTCCCATCCCATTTACTACAGTAATTAGATATAGTACACTATCCTGCCATAGACCCTTGTGTAGAGAAACATCTTGACAAGTAATTGAAACCAAAATAATTTAGTGCGCCCCGTAAAACTAATGAGATAATTAAGTGCGCCCAGACCTAACAATTTGATAAAAAATGATGAAAAACAGTCATTTTTAATATCAGAGATAACTCTATTTCTAAAATAAATTTCAAAATAGAAATGACTGTTTTTCATCATTTTACTAAAAAATGATGAATTTCCATCATTATTAAAAATCAATTTAATGACTGAAAATCATCATTTTTAAAAATGATGGATTTCAATCACACCCCTGACTGGCAATATGTAATAAAGATTCTGTGAAAGTTTCATTAAATTTTACTCTGTCGGTGGTATAAGAGGAGTTGCCGATTAGAGATGGGTGACCCCAAAGCGTAACAGTGGTAAACAGGTTAAAGGTTTTGGTGCAGGTTGATCTGATGATCTGGGCCTGTCAATGAGTATAATTATATATCCCTATTATACACTCCTGTTATAATTATACAATTAAATATACCTAATTATATACACCTGTCAAAGAGTATAATTATATACCCCCTTAAAACCAGCTACAATGCTGTCTAGTGTATAGTTATGATGAGCACTGTTGCCTCTTTCAAAATTATGATGCCATGGCCTCTGGTTTAAACATGTTAAAACTTATCCAAATTCAATGGTTTGAAAGTTGCTACATGATGCTCAGGTGACCTATAAAGCCCATGGGGCTCTTGTTAACCAAAAAATTATTTTATACAAATTTTAGAATCAACTTTCAACATGTTCAAAAGATAGAGTTAAGACCAACTCATATTTAAAAAAAATGTGAAATAATAAGAAAATCATTTTTTTTTTTAGTGTTAGTACTCCTTTCTTTGGATACCAAGAAATTTGAATTTGACCGTAGAATTTAACCCACTGTTTAAAAACTTTAACCTTGGCCATTATTTCATCAATAAGCACTAGGGTTTTGATATTTTTAGGGCACCTGAGTAAACTATTGCTAACTGTTTTCATTTGTCATTGTTTGTCGTGCGTTAACATTTGAACATTTTCAGCTTCTTCTCTGAAAGCAATGAACCAATTTCAACCAATTTTGGCCTACCGTATAATTCCTATTAACCGCCTCAGGCGCTTAGAAAATTTCTAAAAGGGGGCGGTTACTTTGTTACTCTCTTGATATTATTTAATGTCATTCTTATACTTCAAAAATTTTAAAGAATTTTAAAGAACAACTAAAATAATGTCGGACTTTACTTTAGGTGAAGGTAATCCACCCTTTATGCTATATGATTCATTTTGAATTTTGAGAAATTGGATAATAGACAAGTTACATTTTCACTTTGTTCAAATTTTGGCAGACTTTTGATTCGATTCTAGATGATTTTAATCACTGTATAAGGGGCCATTATTTTCTGATAATTGAAAAAAGAGGGGCGCTTATAGGGGCAGGGGCGGTTAATAGGGATTATACGGTGTAGTCTATGGGTAAAGGGGAACAAAAATTGTGAATTTCATAGTCCCTGCCCCCTTGGGGCATGGAAGGTGGGCCAAAACCACTAAAATTAGTGCAATCTTTAAAAATCCTCTTCTTTACTCATGGACATCAAGCAGTCAAACTGTTGGTATGTTACCAAAATTGTGAAATTCATGGCCCGGGGTCAGGGGTTCTAGTACTAGGGTGGGGCTAAATAGGTTATATAGTGAAAATGCATTATTTCTTTTAATTTTTTTTCTGCTCCTGGTCATTAAATTAACTAACCAAGTGCATAGTTGAGTTGAAAATGACTGCGTCTTCCAAAATTGTGAATTTCATGGCCCTGAGTCAGGGGTTCTAGTGCTAGGGTGGGGCTAAATAGATTATATAATAAAAATGCATAAATTCATTGAAATTCTCTGTTTATGGGTATTAAATAAACTAACCAAGTGTATAGTTATGTTGAATAAGGCTGCCTCTTCCAAAATTGTAAATTTCATGACCCCAGGGTCAGGGGTTCTAGTGCTAGGATGGGGCTTTATAGATTTATAGTGAAAATGAATTATTTCTTTGAAAAGTTTCTTTTCTGCTCCTGAGTATTAAATAAACGAACTAAGTGCATAGTTATGTTGAATAAGGCTGCCTCTTCCAAAATTGTGAATTTCATGTCCCCTTGTTTGGGGGTTCTGGTGTTATTTATTGGTTGGGGCTCTGTTAATGGTTAATTTCTGGGCCCCTTGGTTAGAGGTACTTGGGGGGGTGTACATAGTCTGAAAATAATTTAATGCTTTGAAATCTGCACTTTGGTATTAATCAACAACATGATGAAATAAAATTTATAAAATTTCCAAAAATTTAAAAAGATGTGGCCCCAGGGTCAGCGGTTTCTGTGGGATGGGATCACAACTGATACAGTGGAAATGCATTTTCTCTTTGTTACTCTGATGTACCTGAAGTAAGCATGCTACATGTACATGTAAGTGTATAGTTATGATAAGCAATGGTGCCTCTTTCAAAATTGTGAATTTCATGGCCTCTGGTTTAAAATAGAATCATATTCAATTGTTGGAAAGCTGTTACATGATACTAATGCCCTGTTCACACGAAGAGTTTAATTCGAATTAAACGTAAGTTTACTGCGAATTAGCTTCGCTTAGCGTTCACACGGAGAATTTAATGCGAATTAGTTTAATTCGAATTAGTTTACTGCGCATTAAATTACTTCGCATTAGCTCCGTGTAAACGCTAAGTGAAGCTAATTCGAATTAAATTTTGAGGCATGCGTAATGGCAAAATTAGGTCAAATGCCACATGTCCGTGGTCAGCTTGAAGTATTTGTGCTATTTTTGGGTGAAAAACGAAGGAAAATTGTGTTAAACACCAAAAAGTATTGTACAGACATTGTAACATTATGTCAAATGCATCTGCTCCTGCATAAGGTGACGTGATTAGCAAATGACGTCATAATAGACTTACTGACGCCTGGCCGTAGAAGTAGAATTTTAATTCACATTAGTTTACTTCGCATTAACTGTAGTGTGAACGCAATTTAATTCGCATTATTTTAATTTGCATTAGTTTACTTCGCATTAATTTACTGCGAATTAAACTCGTCGTGTGAACAGGACATTAGGTGACATATATAATGCCCATGTATGGCCTAGCTTGTACAGGTGTATTCCTTGTGTTAAGATCTTTCTTTGGATACAAAGAAATTTAATCTTGACCTTAGAGTTTGACCCACTTTTCAAAAACTTTAACCTTGGTCACAACTTCTGAACAATAAACACTAGGGCTTCCATATTTCATAGGTTTATTCCTTGTGACAAGACTTTCCTTTGGATACATGTACCATTAATTTTTACCTTAACCTTGGAGGTTAATTGACTTGCATTTGAGAAACTTCAATCCTTGCCATAGGCTGCCATACATACTGGAGCATCAGTGTTTCACAAATGTATCATAAATCTTGTTAGTATTATAATACATATATTAGGGTCATCTAATAAAACAATTGAATATCTAGACAATGCAACAATTCACAATCCAAAGGAAATATTCATTTCATGAATGACACTATGTACTGATTCTTTTATTAATTTTTTTCAGAAAGCAAGTTTGCAAAAATGGGGAAATGCAACACCTTTTATGAAAAGCACGAAGAATATGTAAGTGGACAATTTGAAAAATTAGGAAGTTTTATATCGAGACATCCGGTAAAAATACTCGTTATTTGTTTAACAGTAAATCTGGCTTTAGTGATTGGTGTATTAAATCTGTCTTTCGAAAATGATATTGAGATCATGTACACACCGGAGAACAGTCAGGCATATAAAGACCGAGAGTTCCTAAGAAAAGTCTATTCTGATCCAACAACAGATAATTTCCAGTCTTATCAGCTAGCAACATTTGGGATATTTGCTGACATAATGGTTATTTCAAAGGATAAGTTAAACATTATGAACCAGACTTATGTTGATGAAATAAATCACATTGATAGATACATCCAAACTTCCATAAATTTTACGGATGCAAGTAACACAACTTACAAATACACTGATATTTGTGCATTAGGCAATACTGGGTGCCAAGTTCTTGGTAGAGGTATTCTGATGGCAAATTTCCAGAAAGAATTGGTTGCCGGAAATGTATCTTTTCCTTATTTCAACATGGACCTGATTTCCCCTTTCCTTGCAAAGGCTGAACATAAGGATGGAAGACTTATTTCTACAATCGGGATAAAATTACGATATTACCTTAGACAAAATACATCACTGTCCAAAGAGTGGTTAAGAACTTTTTTAAAATGCATATCGCAATTACAAACCAAAAACATGGACATTGCATTTGCAACCTCAGATTCACTAGGTGAAGAACTTGAAAAAAATGTGAAAAGTGATGTCGGATATTTCAGTATAACATTTTCACTGATGATAACATATGCTTGCCTAGCTTCAGGATCATTGAAATGGAACAATATTGGAAATAGGGCCAATTTAGGAATAGCGGGAGTGATAACCCCAGTCTTAGGAATTGGATCTGCTCTTGGATTTCTAAGTGCAGTTGGTGTCAAATATACAAGCATTGTTGGAGTAATGCCATTTTTAGTCATAGGTATGTATAAAATATTATTATAAGTGACTATAAGCAGAGCTCCAGATAATTTTTACCCCAAAGTGTATATTTACTCCCTGATTTTTAATCAATGCTGATTTTAATTTTCAGTAAAATGATTGAAGAGTATTTTGTTTATATAGAAACGTTTTGACTTTTATTAGGTCACCTGAGTAACTCAAGTGACCTAATTGCTATCCATTTTCGTCCGTCGCCGTGCGTTGTGTGTTAATATTTGAACATTTTCAGCTTCTACTCTGAAACCACTTAACCAATTTCAACCAAATTTGGTATACAGCATCTATGGGTGAAGGGGAACAAAAAATTGTGAATTTTATGGTTCCTGCCCCCTGGGGCCTGAGGGGTGGGGCCAAAACCACTAAAATTATTGCAATCTTTAAAAATCTTCTTCTTTACTCCTGGACATCAAGCAGGCAAACTGTTGGCATGAATGTAATGAGCATTGAGTCCTCTACTTAAATTGTGAAATTCATGGCCCCAGGGTCAGGGGTTCTAGTGCTAGGGCGGTGCTGTATAGATTATATAGTGAAAATGCATGATTTCTATGAAAATCGTCTTCTCTGCTCCTGGGTATTAAATAAACTAACCAAGCACATAGTTATGATGAGCAAGAGTGCCTCTTCCAAAATTGTGAATTTTATGACCCCAGGATTAGGGGTTCTAGTGTTAGAGCGGAGCTCTATTGGTTATATAGTGAAAATGCATTTATTCTATGAAAATCTTATTCTCTACTTCTGGGTATTAAATAAACTAACTAAGCACATAGTTATGGTGAGCAAGAGTGCCTCTTCCAAAGTTATGAATTTTATGACCCCCAGGGTCAGGGGTTCTGGTGTTGGGGTGGGGCTCTATTGGTTATATAGTGAACATGGTGAAAATGCATTAATTCTTTGAAAATCTTATCTGCTTCTGGGTATTAAATAAACTATGTAAGTAAATAGTTATGTTGATCAAGAGTGCCTCTTTCAAAATTGTGAATTTTATGGGCCTAGGATCAGGGGTTCTGGTGTTAGGGCAGGGCTCTATTGATTATATAGTGAAAATGCATTAATTCTTTGAAAATCTTCTTCTCTGCTTCTGGGTATTAAATGAACTATGTAAGTAAATAGTTATGTTGATCAAGAGTGCCTCTTCCATAATTTTGAATTTTATGGCCCCAGGGTCAGGGGTTTTGGTATTAGGACGGGGCTCTATTGATCATATAGTGAAAATGCATTAATTCTTTAAAAATCTTCTTCTGTGCTCCTGAGTATTAAATAAACTTAGTACATAGTTATGATAAGCGAGAGTGCCTCTTCCAAAATTGTGAATTTAATGGCCCGAGATTCATGGGTTCTGGTGCTAGGGTGGGGCTCTATTGATTATATAGTGAAAATACATTAATTATGCCCCCCTTCGAAGAAGGGAGGGCATATTGCTTTGCTGCTGTCTGTCGGTCGGTCGGTCTGTCGGTCCATTTAGTTTCCGTTCATTTTCTTCATAACCGTTGCACATACTGAAATGAAGTTAGGTATACAGGTATATCACATGAATATCTAGGTCGTTCTGTTTTGGGTACGATCGTAGCATAATTGACAAAGTTATGCCCCTTGGACTTAGAAAAATTCCAATTATTTGCAGTTTCCGTTCATTTTCTTCGTAACCGTTGCACATACTAAAATGAAATTTGGTATACAGATATATCACATGAATATCTAGGTCAAGTTCTGTTTTGGGTACAATCGCACCCTTTTTGACAGAGTTATGCCCCTTTGGACTTAGAAAAATTCCAATTATTTGCAGTTTCCGTTCATTTTCTTCAGAGAGGTTGCACATATTGAAATGGAATTTAGTATACAGATTAGTCAGATGAATATCTAGGTCAAGTTCTGTTTTGGGTACGATCGCACCCTAATTGACAGAGTTATGCCCCTTGGACTTAGAAAAATTCCATATTTTTGCAGTTTCCATTCATTTTCTTTGGAGAGGTTGCACGTATTGAAATGGAATTTAGTATACAGATTAGTCAGATAGATATCTAGGTCAAGTTCTGTTTTGGGTACGATCGCACCATAATTGACAGAGTTATACCCCTTGGACTTAGAAAAATTCCAATTATTTCCAGTTTCCATTCTTTTTCTTTGGAGAGGTTGCACATATTGAAATGGAATTTAGTATACAGATTAGTCAGATGAATATCTTGGTCAAGCTCTGTTTTGGGTACGACCGCACCATAATTGACAGAGTTATGCCCTTTTGGACTTAGAGAAATTCCAATTTGTGGGGGAGGGGGGCATAAGTATTTTACAAACATCTCTTGTTCTTTGAAAATCTTTCCTTTTCTCCTGAGTTCTCTGTCAATGATCCAAATATATATATTCATGATGAAGAAAGGTGCACCTAGCAAAATGGTTATTTTTTATGCCCCCTGCCCCTTCCCTGGGTCGGGGGTGAAGGGGGGGACAAAGTCTGAAAATAAATTGATGCTTTGAAATCTGCTATTTGGTGTTAATCATCCATTTTATGATAAAATTTGCAAATTTTTGAAATATGTGGCCCCAGGATCAGTGGTTCCTTTGGGGTGAGGTGCACAACTGGTTATAAAGTGAAAGTGCATTTTATCTTAATGTTACTCTGATCTACGTCTGGGTATTAAATAAATAGAGTAAGCATGCTAAGTCTATAATTATTATAAGCAATGGTACCTCTTTCAAAATTGTGAATTGCGAATTTCATGGCCTCTGGTTTAAAATACAAACCAAATTTAATTGTTTGAAAGTTGTTGCACAATACTCAGGTGACCTATAAGGCCCGTGGGGCTCTTGTTTTGAGCTTGTAATTGAAGTATGTCTTTTTGAAGAGGGAAAAAACTTCAAAGGTCAGTTCCTGCATTTATTTCAATAAATTTTGGAAATACCAACCAGTACCAATCAATACCAATCAAAAAAGAATGCTTCCCAATCTTAGCATAAGGTCTTGTTGACCAACAAGACCTTTGTGCTAAGATTGGGAAGCATTCTTTTTTGACATGGAATATTATACAGTACGACAAGGTGCCATAGAGTCAGAGACACAAGAAAACTTTTCCTCCTTTAAGATATGGTTTCAAGAGTAAACTAAGAGAAAAGAATCTTCGTTAATGTGGCAAGTTGAGTGAGATGAAAAATTGGCTATGAACCCATAATAAAACAAGAGGCCCAAAGGCCTTATAAGTCACCTGAGTATTGTGCAACAACTTTCAAACAATTAAATTTGGTTCGTGTTTTAAACCAGAGGCCATGAAATTCGCAATTCACAATTTTGAAAGAGGTACCATTACTTATAATAATTATAGACTTAGCATGCTTACTCTATTTACTTAATACCCAGAGGTAGATCAGAGTAACATTAAGAGAAAATGCACTTCCACTTTATAACTAGTTGTGCACCTCATCCCAAAGGAACCACTGATCCTGGGGCCACATATTTCAAAAATTTGCAAATTTTATCATAAAATGGTTGATTAACACCAAAGAGCAGATTTCAAAGCATTAATTTATTTTCAGACTTTGTACCCCACCCCACCCCCCTCACCCCTGACCCAGGGAAGGGGCGGGGGGCATAAAAAATAAGAATTTTGCTAGGTGCACCTTTTTTCATCATGAATATATATATATTTGAATCATTGGCATAATACCCAGGAGCAAAGAAAAGATTTTCAAAGAATTTATGTATTTTCACTACATAATCAATAGAGCCCTGTCCTAACACTAGAACCCATGACCCTGGGGCCATAAAATTAACAATTAGGAAGAGGCACTCTTGCTTATCATAACTATGTACTAAGTTTATTTAATACTCAGGAGCACAGAAGAAGATATTAAAAGAATTAATGCATTTTCACTATATGATCAATAGAGCCCCGCCCTAACACAAAAACCCCTGACCCTAGGGCCATAAAATTCAAAATTTGGGAAGAGGCACTCTTGATCAACATAACTATTTACTTACATAGTTTATCTAATACCCAGAAGCAGAGAAGAAGATTTTCAAAGAATTAATGCATTTTCACTATATGATCAATAGAGCCCTGCCCTAACACCAAAACCCCTGACCCTGGGGCCATAAAATTCAAAATTTTATATGAGGCACTCTTGATCAATATAACTATTTACTTACATAGTTTATTTAATACCCAGAAGCAGAGAAGACGATTTTCAAAGAATTGATGCATTTTCACTATATAATCAATAGAGCCCTGCCCTAACACCAGAACCCCTGACCCTGGGGGTCATAAAATTCACAATTTTGGCACTCTTGATCAACATAACTATTTACTTACATAGTGTATTTAATACCCAGAAGCAGAGAAGAAGATTTTCAAAGAATTAATGCATTTTCACTATATGATCAATTAGGGCCCCACTCTAACACCAGAACCCCTGACCCTGGGGCCACAAAATTCACAATTTTGGAAGAGGCACTCTTGCTCATCGTAACTATGTACTTGGTTAGTTTATTTAATACAAAGAAGTAGAGAAGAAGATTTTCAAAGAATAAATGCATTTTCACTATGTAATCAATAAAGCCCCGCCCTTACACAAGAACCCATGACCCTGGGGCCATAAAATTAACAATTTTTGAAGCGGCACTCTTGCTTATCATAACTATGTACTAAGTTTATTTAATACTCAGGAGCACAGAAGAAGATATTAAAAGAATTAATGCATTTTCACTATATGATCAATAGAGCCCCGCCCTAACACAAAAACCCCTGACCCTAGGGCCATAAAATTCAAAATTTGGGAAGAGGCACTCTTGATCAACATAACTATTTACTTACATAGTTTATCTAATACCCTGAAGCAGAGAAGAAGATTTTCAAAGAATTAATGCATTTTCACTATATGATCAATAGAGCCCTGCCCTAACACCAAAACCCCTGACCCTGGGGCCATAAAATTCAAAATTTTGGATGAGGCACTCTTGATCAATATAACTATTTACTTACATAGTTTATT